CTTGAATATGCCAAACCAGGATCCTCTTGACTGGAGAAATACGCCAGCGCAAATGCCACCAGATACTTACGGGAGATGGAGAAATACCCAGGATACAGGGCCGCCTGCGCCAAATATGCAGGAGATGGAAAATACTAACTGGATTGATCAGGTGAGGATAAAATGTTAATCAAAATTTATTAAGAGGGATGCTGGTGAGCTTAAACAGTTTAATTAATTGCTCATTTTTTCAGGAAGAAATTTTCTGTATCTTTTTTTTTTTTTTTGAGAAACTTCGAATAACAGTTTTGCTTTTTTGTGCAAATAACTTAGTATCCATCGTGCTAGAATCGTGTTTGTATGTGCTTTCTATCGGAATATCCGTTGATAGTTCAGTTCACTGCGAGGGCGCTCTGTCAAAGCAGCAGCCACTTTCTTTCAAAATTGAGTGTTTTTATAGCTTCTGAAGTGAGTGATTTAAAAGCCGAAAATTTTGCAGCTTTAATTCGCTGCAGTGACACAAGTTTCTGTGTAAAATCTGTAGTAAAATTTCACTTTGCTTGTTATAATCTGTTCCGTAGAAGTTTTCATCTGTGGTAACTGTAGGATTGGCGGGGCCGTAGTTTTGAACCACCATAACGGGGCGGTCCATAAACTACGGTACGGGCAGGCTCAACAGGGCGCGGCGGCAAAAATGGGGTAAGTTCCTACTAATCCGGGATGGGGTTAGCTTTACTATGGTGAAGAATTAAAGTAGGAGGAAAGAAGAACAAGATTTTTGGCAAAGATCGTGTGACATGAAACCGTTTGTCATGTTGTAAAATCGTGTACGAAGGAATATGTAGGGAAAATCCTGCTTGTGTTTCATCCCTTAGCTGTTAAAACAGTCAGCAGCAGGGTGCATTTGGGGTTAGGAATCATCAGTACAGCCCCACAGAAAACTGACGCACTGAGGCATGCATTGCCGCTACTTAGGAAGTATTCACCGTTCGCGCAACTGTTAGTGGCAAAAATACTGAATCGCTCCGAAATTTGCTGTGAATCATTAATATTCACATTACTGTTTGATGTTTCCAGCCAGCAATTCGCAATACAGCGAATCATCAGGAGCGTATTCCGGTTCCGTTCAATCCATATGCAATGCCTGGAAACTCGGCACCGGTACCTGGCGCTTATGCAGCTGATGCAGCTGGCGTAAATCACGTTCAGCAACAACATCAGCAACAGCATCAGGCACAGGCTTGGAATCGGATGCAGTTCCAACAGGTGCGTTGATCATTTGCAGCTGCTTTGTTCCTTTTTTTCCTTGCCTTTTTTGACTATTGTGATAGGTTGGGGTGAGACCATGAAATAATGGTTTGGCGATGGTGCTGTTTGCTGGATGTCGTGCTAATAAAGCTTTCTAGCCGCGGTTTAAGTGGTTCATTTTTGGCGATAAATTGGAAGCTAGAACGCTTAGCGCGTCGAGGCCGATTGTTTTCAGTTTATTTTCATGCCCCACTCAAAAGAGGACGCCATTTTTCGCGTTGCCGGTGCGGCTCTACTTCTTGAATCATATTATGCCGTTGTTGGGCATGCTAGTGGGAAACATTTTGACTGAATGGCGAAATGGACTTCATTCCTTTGTCGTTTCTTCTGGACGTAATTCATTGAAGATGCATGTTTGCGCTGGTAATTGATTGTATTTAGGCCGCACAAGCTGTCAGCAATGAATATGAGAATCTGACAAATCTGCTCAATTCTTACCGACCAGCACCGATCCCGCAGCAGCAGCAACCGCCGCCACAGCCACCGCCACCACCACCACCACCACCACCACCTCCACCACCACCTCCACCAGCACCACAGCCTTTCATGCCGCTTGGTAACATCACCTACAATGGTGCAACTGCTGCCGTACCACCTGGCACTTTTCCGATTCCAGGGCCGTGTTCGCAGATTGCGAATACAGCAGTCCCGCCGCCACCGTTGTTCAATGCGCATGTGCCTCCCCCACAAACGGTCACCGCTCGTGCTGTCCCGGCCAATCTACCGTTAGTTCCTTCTTATTCTCGGTTGCTTTATTAAACCGGACATTATTCGACGAACTCAGATGTAGTTGTATTGTGGATGTCGTCTACACTGTTGCTTAATTACTAATTTTTAATAAATTTATTAATTTGGCGTTTGAGATTATCAGCTGCTTCTAGGTTACTAGTCTGCCGTTCTAGTGGGCTCGGAAAACATCACTGATCGGCAGCAGATGATTTCCGTTTTTTTTGCAGGAATGCTGCGTGGCAGCCGGCGACTGTCGCGTTTCCGACAAATGGAGTAGCACCGAACGTTGTTGAAAACCCGCAGCAATTCGCGAACACACATCGCGCAACTTGGAATTATAATTGGTAGAATGGGAAGTGGGTTCATCACTGGGACACATCAATCAAGAAAAGACTGCCTTTTTTGATGGTAACAGTGTTCCGCTCATATTCCACTGGACTAATCCCCATATTTTAGGTAATATTATTCTATCCGATGCTTTTAAAGGTGCTTTCTGTTAAATATATTCTGTGTCTAATTAACGAGTTTAAGAAGGACAGTATCTGAATTGGCACCACTTTTTCATGAATTCTGATCGTTATCGTCGTCTGAGTCTATTGCAGCAGCACTGCTTGCAGATTTTTGTGGTCTATCGTGCAGCGAACTTTGTACTGCTGTAATTTTTTTTTTTTCCTTGTTCAGTATTTCATTGGTCCCTGTACAATCCGCGAACGCAAATTTCGCAATTCCGCCGAAGGCCATCTATCTTGTAACTGATCAGTAGCAATGCAATGAGGAGGAGGGGGGCTGATGTCAATTACGCGTGGTGCAGGGCCGTCACCATATGTGTAATATTTAATGCATTGCGCCGTTCTACCAGTTCTGTATTAATTCGGTATAATTTGTGTTGTGTTAACATTTCAGGCCTTTCCATTTTGTCTTCAGATATCATCGTTTTCTGGTATATTGTCGTTCACATTTTAGCTGTGTCTGCGTGTAATGTGTTGCTGCTGCTCATTCGACAGTTAAACGATTCTGTGTAACTTCCGTTTCGCCGCATCACCAACCAACAACATCATCGCATTGCAGTGCATCCTTTAAACTGATAGGCAAATGCAGCGCAGAGATCCATCACCTATGGAAAAGACACGCATCTCAAGACTACAACAAAATAAATGGTTAAAGAAACGTGATCTTGGGGAGCGTTACTTGTGTTTTTATTCCCAGTGTTGGGACTGAAAAATATGCAAATATGGGCATGGCGCGAAATAATTTTCATCTCTCGTACTGTTTAATTTCCCACGGCCAAAATTTAGATGTACTTCAATTTCATTCATTTTCTTTGCGTCAGTTTCATCTGGTTCCCCTTGAATTTCATTTAGATGAGGATCAAACTGTAGCGAAAACAGTCTTATTCGGGAATCGCTTTTTTTGGACTTAAATTCGCCTTGTTATTAAATTGTGGTGATGGTTTTTCGTTTGGCGTAGCGTCGTGCAGTGGAACTAGGAACTCAGCATTTAGCATCATCAGAAGTAATTTTGCGTGCAAAAATATCCCAATCCGGCAACTCTTTATGCCTCCTGCCTATCCTCTTTCAGCGTATGTGTTAAAAAGAAACATTAGCTCAATTTCCGAAAAAGCTGGCATTGGTCGGCAACAGTTTCGCAAGGGTGATCTGGAATTTGAGAAAGGGTGGCTCAGGGAATTATAAGGATCACGGCATGGAGATCTATCCTGGGCGAACCTCAACCAGTTCAAAGAACCGATTAAGATGTTGTAGGCAATAAAGGCGCATAGACAAGCTAAAGGGATCAGGAACATGAGAAATTCAGACATTTGCTATTCAGATGAATTTAGCAGTAGCTTTTTGCTGCTTTACGACTGCTGACACTTATCTGCATGCAATTTTGGGGGTGTTGCATTCGGGTGGTCTGATTGCTGCGGTTAAGTAGTTCGCAGAGACGTTAGAGTGTGCGAAATTCCGGATGGGCATATCCTCTAGTTTAGGGATTTCCTCGAGCAAGAATATTTTATTAGAATATGTAAATACATTTTATTCTTTCTGGTTGAGACAAAAATCTTGGTAGAACT